AGCACTTCACTCATTTTCTGCTTCAAACCAGATTTGCAACTGCACTAAGGTTATGTCTAATATTAATTATTAACTACATTTTAAAGCAAATTACTAAGTGAAAAGCCATGTTTATAGGAAATATACAGTTATAGGCAGTACAGATGATTATCCACAGCTCATTCTAAGCCACCTCCGAGCGCAGAACGGAGAGCTTTACATTTCCTCGGACTTGAATCCAGACGTTCCGAAAGGTAGTAAGCAATACTAACTACTCGGCTATGGAGGCCGCCACTCCTACTGCGTTCTAAATACTCACACATTTTCTTTGGAATTTGATCTTCAAATGACTACCTGTCACTCTTGGCACATCCAGGCTACTTTTCTCAGTTTAATTCAGTTAAACTCCCTGCAACATTCTTCATCTAAATTTTAGGCAGGTATAGAGAGAGGGAGATGTGTGAATATGCAAAACTTCAAAATCTGACTGACAGAGTAATGCCTAAATATTCTATGAGAAGACTTACGGAAGGCATCCAGACCGTAGCATACTCACGTTGGATGCAAAGAGTTGATCTAGATACTGATGTTCAGAGGATATTAAGTTTAGACGAAGTAACATTTCCACGGTCTGTTTTGTTGCAGTGAAGATACGACTTGTGAAACTAGTGAAATTATGACGAACTGCAAAAACCCAACCGAGTACGAGTATAATCAATTTCAAATAGCAATTACTCGTCTAATTAGCAATGAAGAATCAGTTCTTGATCTATTCGAATACGGTGTCGAAGTACTGATATTATGCTTTTAACAACCTCTGTACAAAATTTAAATGAACCTAGGTGTTTCTGCCGAATATTCCCAATCATACATGAACTTAATGGGCACAATATTTTTGAATAAAATTCGTGAAAAAACACCGTTGCATACAACAACATCCCCTCGTCGTCGGTTTTATGCCGCCACCGAAAGCAATATTAACAGCTACATTCGATTTAGAAAACGTCTCTTCAAGCAGCTCGGTACTTAATGAGGTTTCAAACAAGTTGGCTCTCTATTATATGTTGAAGCCAATAATACGAGTTACTGAACTAAGTTGAGAAGGTATAATCTTATAGAAATGTGTATAATTGTTAGCCTATGCCTTTGGCAGTGTTCTTAATGGTCTTAAAATCGCGTCGTTACTTCTGTCTTCTCCAGCCTGTACAAGAAAGTCATGTGAACTGGTTTGTTGTGAAGTCAACGCATTAACAGCAAACTTGAAATCCAACGTAGTATCACTCTTGCCAAGAGGTGCAAGCTTCGACTGAGTAGACAATAGAAAAGTAAGGTCCTCTCTTGATGAACAAAACTGAAACTCTACCAGGCGCTCATCGTTACCGCCTTACTTTGAGGTGCAGAAGCGTATTCGATAACGAAATCCAGCTCCAACAGATTTCCTGGGAGAGTTTTCACGAAATATTTAATGGTTTTTTGCGTACTGAGATATAAAACGACAATGAACTTTAGAGAACTGAGATATATTGGTTAAGATGGCTAGGTCATATCACTGTCAAGAGACAGTTCTTTACAGAGGATGTTCACTCATATATATTTGGCGCGAATAAAAATATTAGGTTGTCAAATATCTCCCTTCCGCTTTTTTTGTCTTTTGAATTTCGCGGCTATATACAAAGCGCTACAGAGCTCGTATCTGGCAACACTATACATGAGTTTGGATATTGCGTTCAACAGTTATAGTCGTGTAAACATGGAGTTCACTAACGCCGAAATTCGCGCTATTTTAAAATTTTCCTTCGTTAAAGGCAAATCCGCTAGAGAAACGTTCCGTGAGATTAATGGTGTTTTGGGGGATGGTACTCTATCACTTCGAACCGCGGAGGAATGGTTTTGACGATTCAGAGCCGGTGCAATCGACACCATGGATAAGCCAGCCGGCGGAAGACCTGCGACGACAAATACCGATCAAATCATGGAATACATCGAGTTAGACCGGCATATGGCATCTCGTGACATCGCCCAGGAGATGGGAGTTAGTCACCAAACTATTTTGAACCATCTGCAGAAGGCTGGATACAAAAAAAAGTTTGATGTTTGGGTGCCGCATAATTTGACGCAAAAAAACCTTTTGGATCGAATCAACGCCTGCGATATGTTGCTGAAACGGAACGAACTCGACACATTCTTGAAGCGGATGGTGACTGGCGACGAAAACTGGATCACATACGACAATATCAAGCGAAAACGGTCGTGGTCGAAGGCCGGTGAATCGTCCCAAACAGTGGCCAAGCCGGGATTGACGGCCAGGAAGGTTTTGCTGTGTGTTTGGTGCCATATGTGGCCATATGGCCAGACGCTTAATTCTACCATCTACTGCGAACAACTGGACCGCTTGAGGCAGGCGATCGACCAGAAGCGTCCAGAATTGGCCAACAGGAAGGGTGTAGTGTTCCACCAGGACAACGCCAGACCACACACTTCATTGATGACTCGTCAGAAGCTACGGGAGCTCGGATGGGAGGCTTTATCGCATCCACCATATGATTACCACCTGTTCCTGTCCATGGCGAATGCCCTTGGTGGTGTGAAGTTGAACTCAAAAGAGGCTCGTGACAAGTGGCTGTCCGAATTCTTCGCAAATAAGGAGGGGGGCTTCTACGAGGAAGGTATTATGAAGTTGCCGTCTAGATGGAAACAGATCATCGAACAAAACGACGCATATTTTAACTAAATCCGATCACTGTAACACTTTTTATAAAGCAGCCGAACGCGACTCACTCACCGCTGAGACGCGCTAAATATTATTATGAGCTTAGTATAAATTAAATATTTAAGTCCAACCATCAAAGAAATTCGAGGCATTTAACAAATTTTAAACTTTTCTTATACCCTGAATTCTTATTTGCACTAAAATTTTTTATTTGCCATAAGTCTAAGAGCAACCAAATAGTGCAATGTTAAAGATTGATTTGATTCGCTTTAAGTTTGATTAAATTTTGAAATTCCCTATAAATTTTAATGTGGCACAAATGTATGTATAACTTATGTATGGATGTAGGTATGAGCATGAAATGCTAATTTCGTTCGACAAAAACGAACTCTTTCATTTTATTGGTGCACAGTTTGCAGTGCCGTTAGGCGATTTCAATTTGTAGATTAATATGTGTCATAATGCAACAATAAAAACAATATGAGCTGGGGGCTTATCTACATATACTCGTACGTATACATATAACCGTATTTACGTATTTATCTGCCTAAAAAGCGTGCCAACTTTTGCTGCTTTCCAAGCACTTTTATCATTATCAACATATCTCTATAGTTTTTTCGTTTCGGTAGTATTTTGCATTGGCCATTGACGTTGCAAATTAAAGATTTTATCTTTTCGTTTAAAATGAGATTTTTTCTGCATACTTACATACATACATATATCGAAATTTTGAGGGAAAATTGTTGTCGAATTGCCATTTTCTTAATTCTAATTTAATTTTTTGCATTTCATGTTTTTATATTTATTCTTAGTTTATTTTTTTATTTATTTTTTTTCAATTTTATTTTATATTTTTCATTTCACTTTTATTTTTCACTTTTTCCATCTATTCCTAGAAAACTCTACACTAATAATAGCACACGCATGTAAATATGTTTAAGTGCATTGGTTCTTTTTTAAACGTACGTACTTATCTAATCATTTTACATATATTGAGCTACATACATACATATCTAATTTTGAAGTGTGACAAGTTTCTATTAGATCGCACTTCACTTCAAAACAGTCGGCGCGCATCGGGCTTCTCTGCCATCTTGCGGGGTACACTTGCAATCACATCAATAACAATTGCATTGGCTCGTGCCTAACGCCATTACACACATAGTAATTAACTATAAATGCACCAGAAAGGTTGTCCATAGGAATTCATTCTTCTATAGCAAAAAGTTGGATTATAAAAACTTCCTTTCTAAAATTTGGCACATTTGCATAGAAAATGGAACCGGAAAATGTTTGTCAGTTAGAAAAATATTTGGGAAATTACTTTCTCAGTAACTCTCTTTTGACATCCAAACAATTTTAAAAATATTTTTGAAAATTCTATTACCAACTTCTTCGTGTTTCTTACCCCGCTTTCACGATTATAGTCAAGTCCAAAATGATACACCCTTCTGCAGTACATCGTTTGCGGTGTTCGGTGCATGGATCACAGTAAATAATTCTCAAAACCTTTCTTTCTAAGGCTCTATCCCAGGTAAAGTTAAGTATTTTGTCAATCGAGAAACGACTCATCTACCTACTCAATCCAAGGTGGCACTTGCCGATAACAGTGATTTACGGTTGTGGTTGGTGTTTCCGAGATAGATGAAATCATCTACGACATCCAAGAGATCACCATTTAGGCGAGATCAAATTTTACCGACCGAAATCTTTACATATTCAGTGCCTCGTATTCTTAAGTTTTGGTCAATGTACAATAAAGAATATGTTCACACAGGCTTAGGTCATTACAAATAAGCTTTAAATTGTAAATAAATTCTAAATTTTATTTTTCGATGAACAGATAATTTACCAAGGTTTATTAAACAATTTTGTTTTTAATTTTCTGCCAAAAAATGTCCAGTTCCCCAGTAATTTTTTCGCAAGGTTATAAGACTAATTTTCTTAGAAGCAAGGCTTTCTTTTAATGCTATAAATCAGTTAATTGACTGCCTGTGTGAACAACATTTGATATCGTATTTTTAACCTACATATATACATATGCCATTTGTATACAAAGTAAATTGAAAAAAAATATTATATTTTAGAACTAAAGTCAAATTATTAGCTTAATGCTTGGTCTCTTTTGGATTACCTTGTCTATGTCATTATTTTTTTAATTTTTACAATTAACCCGGTTTTTTCCACTTTAAAAAGGTAATAGATAATCCAAACAAAGCAAAAGATTCTAAGAATCGCTGCGAAATTATCTATAAAATTCAGGTCAATAGACAATCGAATAAATATATACCAAGCTCTACAAAAGCACTTCGCCAATTTCTATAAATATGCAACTCTGCTACTCCTCCAAGACAGTGGAGAATTTACTTTAAATCTCCAGTGTGTTTAATTTGTAAGAAATCGAATCAAAATGAAGCGTAAGTCACTATAAAATGAGTACCTACGTCCTGAACTATTGAATTACTCCTTCAGACTCGACTATTCTCCTGTTGATGGCACTCTTCATCGCCTATGCATACGCCAACGACGAGTACTGCGATCCGGATAGTGATGGCAAGCCGATTTGTCCGGCCAACTCAAAAGGTGAAACTTATCGCAATTTCTGGGATCCGACAAGGTATTGGATTTGTGTTAGCGCCGGTGAACCGATCTCGAAACGTTGTCCAAGCAACACCGGCTACAGTGGCATCACAAATAAATGTATATCCTGGATTGATTGGGTCTGGGTGCCGCCATGTGGTTTTGACCAGTAATAAAAAATTATAGAAAGATGTTATGGTTGAAAGGTTTTTGTAATTCTTTACTTTTTAAAATGTAGTGTATTATATCTGGTTATAAATGTGCATAAATTGAAAATAATAAACTGAGAATTTTACTCATATCATAAAGACTAGTCTTATTCTCGATTAAGAAGAAGATACCTGTTATTAATAGTTCCGCTTAGATCCCCAAGACAAAATACGAGTATATTACCGAGCATGATGTGGACAAATAGATCTCACTATCTGGTGAGTGTTCATGTAACCTCTGGTGGGTCCTACCATATCGGGAGATCTCCTGCAAAGGCTCGAAAAAGGTTGAAAATAGTTTTTTGTAGAGTTTAGTGAAGAGTTTATTTTAAATCCTTATTTCCTCTTTCGTTACAACAAAACAGTGGGAGGACTTAATAATGGGGTTTAAGTCTTAGTAGTTGATTAGGAGTAACTGAAAAGCCTCCTAGTTACAAAAATATCTTTTTTCATTTGTCAAAACGAAATGCCCTGGAAGACAAAAAGCTAGGTATTTTATAAATATTTTATGAGAATTATTATTACTATTTTTGGTATTTGGAACTCGAAAATGAAAACTCCGGATCTTGAGATGAGAGTTCTTTTCTCAGTTCCTAAATTTTACGTCAAACTCCTATTTAAAGCAATTCATCAACTCTAACCAGTTGAGTGCAACTTGAACGTTTACCATTTGTCTTAATTAATTTCGAAAAACGATTAAGCAACAAGTTTCTTCCTCGTCTTTCAGGTGCACATACCACAGCAGTTGTGGGCTAATGATACCAATATTATTAGCTATATTACACCACACAGAGGGAACTAAGTTTAAAAAAAAAGAAATAAAAAACAAATATACATGATAATTGATAATTAGTATTTAGCAAAAGCTTCAGGCCACATCCGTTAAGGCGTTTTGTGTCTCTGTGGAAAACTGACCAGTGGCAATGTCTGCAGTCAACTGGTCTCACTCAGCTCGAGCAACGAGGCAAAGAGGTAAATTAGCCGCGAGCCATTTGTGTTAACAGCTTATTGAAGCGCTACTACATACATACAAATATTGGTATAATAAACATAATACTATACGGCGCACTATCATTTATCGATGGCCAACAACTACTGAATAATTACTACATGGTAAGCATAGATAGCAGGTTGGAATTGAACAACAGAAATAGATATGGCAAAAGAGACGGAGAAGAGTGTTTGAATTTGCTAGACTAATTGTTTGGTACTAAAAGAAGAAATAATAAAGAATGAAGAATATTATTTTAAGTGGCCCATTGATTATTATTTCCGTTTACTAAATGATTATTTAATAAATTTTAATTATACATATAGAATTCAAAGTGCTTTATTGCATAGAAACACAAGCTTTTAATGGGGTTCAAGCCTTTGCAAAGATAAGACTTGCTTCAAAAGTTAGGAATAGATAATAAAGTATATACAATTAAATAAGTTCATTAAATTATTGCTTTGAATAAATAAATAAATATACAATGATTATGCCAGGTGTTCATCATTTAGTATATTTTGTTTTATTTTATAATCTTTTCTTGTATTGTATTTAATTTAATTTTACTTTTTCTTTTATTAGTTTTATTTATTTTTTATAATGTTATTTTGTTTTACTTTCTTGTTTTTTTTTTTGGTTTGTTTAATTTTAATTTTTTTATTTTCATTTATTTTATCTTTTTATTTTATTTCATTTATTTGTTTCATTTCATTTTACTTTACTTATTGTATTTCTTTTCGTTAATTTTTTTAAATTGATTTATTTCATTTTAATTTACTTTATTTTGTTTTATTTTAATATATTTCATTTTATTTTCTTTTTATTTAAGTTTCTTTTGATTATATTTTATTTAATTTAGTTTATATTATTTTATTTTATTTTATTTTATTTTATTTTATTTTATTTTATTTTATTTCTAAATATTTATATCTTTATTTTTATTTTATTTAATTTAATTTTATTATGTTATACTTTTTTATTTATTTTAGGTAAATTTATTTGAATTAATTTTATTTGTATTATTTTAGTCTATATTATTTATTAATTCTATTGTTTTTAATATTATTTTGTTTATATTTGAGCTTTTTATTTCATTTCATTTTTAATTTTACACGTTATTTATTGTTTTTTTTTAATTTTTTTTATTAAATATTTTTTATTTTATTTTCTTGTGTGTCTTTTATTTTACTTTTATAATTATATTTTATTTTTTTTTTATTTGATATTTATTTAACTATTTATTATAGAATACGAAGACATATTTTATATGTATCAAATTTAAGCTTATCAGTTGTCTCTAAACACCAGTAAAATATCCCATTTGTATATTCTTAATTAAATGATAAAAAAATTTTTTGTAGTTTTCAATTAAATGTTTGCAAAAATTGCAAAAAGTATTAGATAACATAAAAAAGTGCAAGCAAATAAAACAAATTGCAATCAATAACTGGTATGATAAGGGAAATTTAATCATTGCAACAAATTTTCTCGTTATTAGCGAATTCGCCACTCCCCCCACCAATACCTTTGTGTTAGAAATTCTAGCTTTTTGTGAAAATGAATTTCATATAAAAAGTCAGACAGTGCAATAGTTTGTCATTCGCTTTTTGTTATTTCGACGTTTACATTTCGAACACATATTTTAAAAAGGAACAATGAAATTTGGTACGTTTGCTCTTTCCGCCGATAAAAAAGTTGCTTTGAGGGACTTGCATCCTGAATGGGGAAGAAGTCAGAGAAATTTTGTAATAAATTTTAACGAGAAATCTGCATAGATTTTACAGGAATATATTTTAAAATAGCTACACAGAAATCAAAATCGGAAAATTATCACTGTCACAGTTTAAAATTAGAGACTTAATTTTTTTTTTTTTAATTAACGTTTTCTTTATTCGCAAAATTAAAATTCTTTGCAGTATATTAACTAATATTTTCTTTATTCATTATATTTTTCACCAACAGTATACCTACTCGCCTTTGTCACTTTGGCTTACTCAGCCACAGTGTTTGCTGCAGATTGCGATCCCGACAGCAATGGACAGCCCGAATGTAATGCTTCGAATGAGGGTGCGATTTCACGTAATTTCTTTGATCCAACTCACTACTGGCAGTGTAAGGACAATGTGGCTGTCTCAGTACGTTGCCCTGATGTAACTGGTTTCCTGGCTTCTGCTGGAGAATGCGTACCATGGAGCGAATGGAAGTGGACAGCACCATGCCCAGATGTACGTCCCTAATTATGCACTGCTATACAAACCTTAAATAAATTTGACAGTATTCGATGGATTAGTTTTTTGTTCAGCTCTATTTAAATAAACATTTACATAAACACTGCTAAAATACGCCTAGAAGTTTTTATATTGTAATATTATTTATCTTGATTTCCGTTCCATTTGTTGGACAAACGTCAAGACGCAAAACTTTAAATTGGAGTAGGAGCTCGGCGGAAAATCACTTCAGCGGTTACAAAGCGCCAATTATATAATTAAATATATGTATGTATACTTTATCTTATTTAATTTCGGTTTATTTACTTTATTTTATTTTTATTCAACTTTATTTTTTAATCTATATTAAATTATTTAATTCACTTTATTTCACTTTATTTCACTTTATATTATTTCAATGTATATTATCATATAATATTTAAAAATTTTTTGTATTATTTTATATTGTTTTATTTCATCTTTAACTTTTTATTTTAATAAATTTGATTCTATTTGATTCTAATTTATTTTGATTAATTCTTTTTATTTTTTTCGATTAATTAAAATTATATTTTCATTTTATTTAATTTTGTTTTGTTTATTTTAAATTTATTTCATTTTCTTTATTTCAATTGTATTTTATTTTAAATTATTTTATTTTTTTATTCAACTTTATTTATTTTTTAATCTATATTAAATTATTGAATTTAATTTATTTCATTTTGTTTTATTTTATTTCACTTGTTTTATTTCATTTTATTTTCATTTATTTCCTTTTATTTTATTTTCATTTATTTCATTTTATTTTATTTAATTTAATTTTTTATTTTATTTCATTTTATTTTTTTTTTTAATTTTTTTATTTTATTTTATTTTATTTTATTTTATTTTATTTTATTTTATTTTATTTTATTTTATTTTATTTTATTTTATTTTATTTTATTTTATTTTATTTTATTTTATTTTATTTTATTTTATTTTATTTTATTTTATTTTATTTTATTTTATTTTATTTTATTTTATTTTATTTTATTTTATTTTATTTTATTTTATTTTATTTTATTTTATTTTATTTTATTTTATTTTATTTTATTTTATTTTATTTTATTTTATTTTATTTTATTTTATTTTATTTTATTTTATTTTATTTTATTTTATTTTATTTTATTTTATTTTATTTTATTTTATTTTATTTTATTTTATTTTATTTTATTTTATTTTATTTTATTTTATTTTATTTTATTTTATTTTATTTTATTTTATTTTATTTTATTTTATTTTATTTTATTTTATTTTATTTTATTTTATTTTATTTTATTTTATTTTATTTTATTTTATTTTATTTTATTTTATTTTATTTTATTTTATTTTATTTTATTTTATTTTATTTTATTTTATTTTATTTTATTTTATTTTATTTTATTTTATTTTATTTTATTTTATTTTATTTTATTTTATTTTATTTTATTTTATTTTATTTTATTTTATTTTATTTTATTTTATTTTATTTTATTTTATTTTATTTTATTTTATTTTATTTTATTTTATTTTATTTTATTTTATTTTATTTTATTTTATTTTATTTTATTTTATTTTATTTTATTTTATTTTATTTTATTTTATTTTATTTTATTTAATTTAATTTTATTTTATTTTATTTTATTTTATTTTATTTTATTTTATTTTTCTTTTGATTTTATTAAATATTATTTTATTTAGTTCATATAATGTTATTTAATTTTATAATTAGATTATTTTATTTAAGTTTAATTAGTTTTTTATTTAATTTTATTTTTTGTGATGTTGTTTTATTTTATTCTTTTTTTAACTTTTTTTATATAATTATATTTATTTGTTATATTTTATTTTAATTTTTTATTCAACAAACTAAAGGCGTGTTCTAAATTTATTGTCTTTTAAATAAGCTATACAAAATCTACAAATTAAAATTTACAAACAAGTACAAATAAAAAATAATAGTGACAATGACAAAAACAAAAAAAAAAAAAAACAAAGAGAAAAATGTAACAAAGTTTCTTGTTTTCTGATATCAAGATCATTTTGTCTTGAATGTTGACTCTTAACACCTTTGGAGGTAAAGAATTCGAATTGGTCACCCGCCTGAGTTGCTCCTGCACACACACTGACACACACATACATATACACACTCAACACTGACTAACGACAAAACTAACTGCCAACCAAAAGCATTTCAACTGATCTGGTGGCATTGATAATGAACACACGTCACAGCTGTGTGTGTATGAGTTGGGTGAACATTATTTGTAGACACTGTTTGCATTTTTTGTGAGTGTGTGTGTGTTTTTTTTTTTTACTTCAGGTGTTTACACAATGGTGTTCTACCGCACTCGTAAACACGAAATACGAAGGTGCCCGCAGACAATTGTGAATGTCAGTATGAGTTTGTATGAAAGCTCACACTTGAATTCGTTAACTCGAAACTGGAGGGTTTTGCGAACTCTTCGCTGTAGTTCACTAGTCGAAATTATCCCGAGTGAAAATCTACAAGTAGTCATACAAACTTTTCCATGTAACGGAGTAACCCATTTTCGGTACAAATTTATACAAAATCAATTGTTGCCATGTTCTGTTCGAGTTTCAGGTTGAAGATGCTGATTGTGTGTGTGTGTGGAAACAGTTGCTACTGTATTGCTTCCTATTACTTTTAATTCTGTTAGGCGTTCACACCCTCACTTCTTGTTTGTTGGCGAAATTCAATAAACGGCATATCGGCAATCTTAACAACACCAATTTTTAATTTGAATTGTCGATTTTTTAAAACAAGCGAATGTCTACAAAAACACGCACGCAACAACAACTTATTTCAACGGTTCACAGTGGTTAAGATAATGAGAATCAATTTGCTGATAAACATTCTATTTTCTCATAGAACGTAGATTCTGTCACTGTTATCGATGAAGAAGAGCTCGAGCTCACGTAAGCTTCAGAATTTTCTGGGAGTCATAATTCGTATGACATCAAGGTCTAGAGCCCTGGTGGTCGGCAAGAGCTTTTATTCGAACCTAACTGACCAGAATTCCATGAAGTGGGAGTCAATATAAAAGCTCGCCGACTGATTCTTGAGCAAATAATATTTTTCGTCTTACGGTTGCTTCGCTGCCAAGTACTGTCATGAGAAAGTGGAGCTAAATCATAAGACGGAAATGTCGTTCGCTAGCAGAGATCATCTCTTTCACGTTAGAATTTCTAGTATTGTGTAGAGTTTGTGAAGCGTAGACGCAGCATCTAGCGAGGAGTGGGTGGTAGGTGTGGATTCCCCTTCCTGTGTTTCATTTCGGTTTCTGCTTGAACTCACAATATCACTGTTCGCGACTCCCGATATCAACGCAGATATATACACCTTTTAAAGACTTATCTTTTATCTCTCATTACTTGGTCGATTTAATTGAGAAACTTTCAATGGCGACACTGCCAAGTAGCTTAATAAATACTTTTGTACAGGTCGGTCATAAAAATTGCTCCTTTCCCCTTCAGTTTATGCCTGGCCAATGTAATATTATTTCCTAGGACATAAGTAATCAGGAGACTGGACCTTACCAATCAATCGAAAGAGCATTTAAGGTGGATATCCTGTAGTCATTTTTCTGCCCAAGAATCTATCCCGTTCAACACATCTCCTTGGCAGCAGCGAGGACAACCCTAGTATTTCTGGCCACAGATTTCAAATTGATCCACGTATTATTCCGGGTAGATATTTTCAAATAATTTCCTTCTCCGTCGTTGACCTGTCGAACGTATACGCTGGATGTAGGTGAAAATAACATAAATATTTCCGAGAACCTCAATAGACAGGAAAAAGGAAATTTTCACTTGATCCTTCAGTCTTGTCCTGTCGTTTTCATATCCTGGCCATAAGTAATGTCCGTCTGACTATTTCCAAGTTCCAGGTAAAAGAATCTATTACAATACATTCCAGCCTAGTCCAGCCAAGCAAATCTCTTGGGCAGCTGGGAGGACAACCTTAATATTTCCGGGAGCATATATCCGCAAGAGCAATGCCAAGTTCGATTTAATTGACAAGTCATTTCAGGCGGATATCTTCAAATTGCTTCCCCTAGTAACTTGGCTGTGCTCAGCAACACCATTGAAATTTCCTTTCCGCGCCAACTACTCCAAAAAAACTCTCGCTCCAAGAAGAATTAAACAAAAATCTACAGAGCTGTTGACTACTCAAAACTATGGCGCCTTCATCGACCTTATCTCAAATTCAAATATTTTTCGAGTGCCAAACTTATCTTGCTTCAACAACTTAACTGGTTTCTTTTTTTTTCTACAAATATTTACACGCTTTCCGCTGCACGATTTGTAACTTCCTTGTACAGCCGCCACATATGGTTATTGTGACTGGGTCAATTCTTTGTCGATTTCGAGTTCATTTAGTGATTTCCAATTACAATTGAATTAGAAAATACCGCAATTCCGAGTCACCCTTAATCGGTGTCGCCACGGTCGCACCAATGTGGTGTGCGCCGTTGCCGTGCATGCTTAGCTTGTGACGGTGTCATACTTGCCATTGTTGCTGCTGTGCGACTGTTGTTGTTAACCTGTTATCTATGCTACTCATCTCAGCATAGCGGTATTAGCGTTTCGCGCGCGCGAAATTGTTTTTGTATTTTGTTTTACATTTTAGCGTTTTCTAGCTGTTTTTGGTAATGACGTTCAATGGCACTTTGGAAACTTGTCTCTTTGGCTTCGCAAGTGACTGAGTGAGCGGTGGGCAGTAAGTGAGTGAGTGAGCGCGCGTGCGTCATTTTACAATTGCAATTGTTTTGGTTTTTTCCTTCTGCATTTTGCTGTTTGGCTGCATGTGGCAATGCTGTTGGCATGTGAATGTCATGTCGATCGTACAACACGATCGTTGCACGTCTAAAGCGCACCTTCTATGTACTCGCATATGTATGTATATGCCCCGCGTTCTTTTTCCTCTTTAGTCTCTATTCCGTATGCTTTTGGCAATCGATAAATTTACATAAGCAACATGTTGCAAATTTACAAGTAACATTCATTCGTAATACACTATAATATTCCCAAGGGTATAGGCTTAAAAGCCGCGTTAAGCCGCTGCAAATCATGTAGGTGCAAGGTCTCGAGAG